ACCCCTTGTGATCAAGGATGCTTGTCCATTTGTCCACCGCAGTCAGCAGGTTGGTGATACAAGAGTAACCCTTCCTGAAACCATGCTGTTGGGGTGAGAAGAAATTTAAGGACAGTAAATAGTCATTTATACCATCACACATCAAGGACTCCATGATTTTTGAGGGTATGGAGAGAAGAGCCACCGGTCGGTAACTTGAAGGTTCGCTGCGTCGACCTCCTTTGAAAATTGGTGTGATGTGAGCCAGCCTCCAATTTGCCGGTAGTGTTCCTCGACTTAGCGAGTGTAAGAACATCACGCTAAGCGGCGTTGCTAAGACTGAGGCGTCACTCTAGGTGGTTTTCTCACGATTGAATCCACTTCCTTCAGTGCAGCATAAAGAACCATATCTGGGCCAGGAAAAGTGTCCTTGTTTAGACTCTGCAGTTTCCGATACACCAAGTCAGCGCTCAGATTAACTTCTTAGAGTCCTGTTGAGTCACGAGACAACCTGCTCAATGATATTTTTTCCGCTAAAGAACGTCTCACAAGATTCTTCCGGGACCCCCTTGATGAGATTGTGTCTGGAAAATGGTATATCAGGCAGTATTCTTACGTCCTCTTTTGATTTCTGGAAGTGACTGGCCTGAAGAACATCCTTCGCATCGGTAGTTTGGGCGGACGCTACTTGAAGGAGCTTTGGATGATTTTGGTGCATGAAATCGTTTCTCTGAGTAAGCCGTGTAACCATCAGTGGCTCGTTTAAGATAAATAAAAATAGAAGGTCAACTAGACTGGAAATTGGGTAAGAGGAGACAAGGATAATAATAAGAGTAATAATAATAATGTGAAAACAATTTCAAACTCAATCATTCTGGATAATAAGTCGGTATTATATTTTTATATATAAATGTTCTTAACAAGTATATGTGTGATCAGATTGTTCGAAATGTATTGAGCTAATATGTTACATAGTTCAGATAATCTTCTTCTATGTATTACATTATCGAAATTTATCAAAGGGACTAATTGCTTTAAATTTCTTAGAAGAAGCCTCGTTTAAGATCAATCTGAGTCTCCTGTTCAGCTCTTCCCAGAACCATCATTTCTGTCACGCAGACTGAGATGAAATTCAGAGTTGTCTTTACGGCCCACACTTGTGAGAAAATCACCTCGAACTGTGATCGTTTTCACAAGTTTTCGGGCACGTTTATGTTGGAGACCTTTTCGTCTGGCATTTAAGATGCGCTTCGGGTCCATGTGTGGCTTGCCGACTAGTTGGGCAATCTTAGGCTTGGACTGCGCGGCCATTTTACCAGCTGATTCCACTATAGGTCCTGGGCTGTTCAGATTTTTTGATTGTGATACTCGATCCTTCTCAACTATATTGACATGAGTCCTATCGCCTACATACATTTCGGGGACCACAGCTGCACTTGGTGAGCCAGTGCTAGGGAACACATATTTTCTGAGAGAGTCTAACACTGTCATTGCTTGGAAGGCGCTAAGTTTCAGCATACCTTCACTAGTGTTGATACGTGTTCCATCTATACAAATGTTTTAGAAGACTCTCATGTAGACTTCAATGCTCATTGTTCATTTGTCCGTTACGCGACTGCTTTTTTCTTGTTTTCTGACATTTTCTTAGTTGACTTGTCAGAAGAATGGTGCTGTTGCCCAGCAAATCCTCGGTATTCATGTTTCTTGTGCCACATACTTACCTGCTATCTGACTTAATCAATCTGTTGTAAGCAGTTACTGCAAGACCTGTGTATACTTCGTGGAACCAACGTTTGCATTCGTCATAATACATAACACAGGTGGCTGCAGAGCGGCATCCCGGTTGCCTACTTCAGCTCTTCATGTCTACGTTGGAATGTGAGTTGTACAATAGATTCTAACAAGAGTCAACTATAACACAAATAAACAACGAGTAAAACGAATAGAACAGGTAGTACAAAAGGTTAGAGTATGCTAAAACTAGCCCTAACATGGAAAACTGTAAATGCCTAATAGTAAGCTGAGGCGAATCCACAGCTAATTATTAACTCGGGTAAACCTGAAAAAGTCAACCACCCGAAAGTCCTTTGGATCGAAAATGGTACTGCTATATCTAGAGCTTATATTCTTGATATGTCGCGTATAACGTGAGCACTTGAACGCTAGAACACTTCGAAGTCACAAATAGAAAACAAGTGAAAGAAATGCTTTTCCAGACAGTGTCAAATTATAGTATAAAACTATCAGGTATTTATAGTTTTTAGTAAAAACGAAATCATCATTATAGCTATCCACTCCTCACACAGGGGGTTATAACCATTGTCCAATAGGGAAGCGATACGTAGAGATTCTAGAATATTGCTCCCAAAAGTGACTGCATGGAAAATCTCCGGGTCTTTCTGAGCTTCTTACAACTTCCTCGAGTTCGCTCATGGACCGTCCTCACACCTCTCTGTTGTGTAAGACTTTTTCCTCGGATCCACCTGAAACTTGGTTACCGTATGTCTTTTGCAGTCCATCACTCTCGAAGACTGTACGACTTTGCCTTGCGTCTTTTATTTTCTCCACATTCGCGCTTCTGAGGACTTTTTTGGAGATGAATTCCCAGGCAATTGAAAAGAGAGTCGGCTGTATGGGACCAATGTTCTGCCGCCCCTTTGAATTTGACTTATGTGTCTTATACACGTCCCCACATTTCTCCTGACTAGGTGCAGTACATTTCCGATCTGACATTCTATGACACCTGATTCACACTTCCTATTACCTTGATAAGATTTGACAAGTACATTTCCACCCACCTAGAAGCTACAAGTGACCGTACGATAATTATTCATGGGTTTACTTGTCTTTCTGGTTGGCAACATACTCTTAAAGTCTGTCCGGATTTTCCTTCAGAACACACATTCGCCTGATGACTTTCCTTTTGGTACTGCTGGATTGGTGGTAACTATGTAAGATATTAGGAACTTACCGATCGCTTGTTCTGGGATACCCTCTCCTCCTCCTTTGACCAGAGCTCTTTATCGTATCCACGAATCTTTCTGCTTGATCATTCGACTGAGGATGGTACAGAGAAGATTGAAGATGCGATATGTTAATTTCGCTGCAAAACGGTTTAAAAACAGGTGACATAAACTGAGTGCCGTTGTCAGTCACCAAGGTCTGGACACAGAAGATGATTGAGAAATCTAAATCACATTAAGACTAAACTTCATTTGCGTAGATGGAAGATAACATAAAACATGAAAATATAAAAAATAGTAAGTAGGTTGTAACATCTTCACCAAATAAAAAAATAATTCGAAAGGACTTTTAACGTATAACCGTTGTACCTTCTTAAACATATCCGCTTGATACTTGAAACAAGAACCCACTGACTGAACGTCATGTTTCCTATTCGACGGCCTCCTGGTAATTGTTGAAATTTCTGGGTTGTAAATCAATAACCATGATTACATCCAGGATATTCATAATGTGTTCGTGTAATTTGTCACATGAACTACGTTATTGGACTTCGCTTTTGCTGTAATTTACTCCTTATGGTCACCGATCCGTTCATTCGACTAAAATATTCCAATCTTCTTGTGATCACATTGTGTGACCTTAACTTTTGTGAGTCTCCATATTCAAACTTTATACACAGAAAAACAAAACCGTATGCTCCCCTACTTTGCACAGATAATTCACTCAATAACTCTACAATCGATCCCGAAATTTTCTGGTTTCAAGCTAAGATCAAATACTTTTTCGTAACAACCTAATCTCTACCAACAAGGTGATCCATTAAGCCTCAAAGGTCTACTCTAATACCGTGTTATTTTCATGCCAAAATATCTCTCCTTTAACTCAAAGTAGAATAACATTGAGGAAGATCGTTTACGTTAATTAAAACAGTAATAGTTAAATTAATTCTGCGATGTTTAATGATCACAATTCATCGTCGGCTTCAAGGAACGAGCCAATTATTACATTCTTCTAGTTCATCAGCATTTTTCGACCGATCCAGAGACATATTAAACAGAACTGTCGATTGTTTGCCAATTATATTAATCACAGATCCTACCACTGGAATATATATTCTATTTGAGATTTTGAAGTCGTTGATAAACTCCATTCTTAATAAATTCATTACGTATCGTTGAAACATATTGCTTGCAGCTGGTCTTCTATCATTGTTGGGAGAAAATATTTTGCTGAAGCATTCAGATAAGCGTCAAACACAATCACAACGAATTTACCTTTGACAGAAGTGGCGGAACTCCGCCACTTTTATAAGTTCGTAACTTGACGAACAAAAACAATTTCTTGAGACTATTCAGATCATCTCGAAACAGTGATCATGATTAAGATAGGTGTGACGATCTACCATAGTAATCGTTTTTATGTCATTCGTAGACAAGGATTCATCAAAAGAATGGACGTACGCAAGCACATTATTTTTAATGGTTGTTCGAATGTTCCAGTTGTTGATGTTAATGGTTGTAATTGATAAATCTCTATTGGGATATGTGTTTCATGTGCTGATCGTCTTCATATTAGGTCACATGCATCTTAAGTAGTGATGGATTCTGGCTAACAGTGGTATTCAAGATGCTTCTGTATTCATATTTGAAATTCGACATCTTGATGTACCTGCACCTCGGCGTATATGCTTACACCAGGAATAAGACACAGATAATTTCATGTCGGACTCCCCAATGCATTATTTAATTAGAGGTTAGTTCTGTTAGTGGATACGATCCATCTTTGCTTCAGTCAAGGGCTTTTGGATTTTGGATTTTCACATTTCTTTAAGAACCAAATTTTATAACGTACATTTCATCAAAGATTTGATCTTACAATAATCCATCAGCGAAAATACCTTCATGGCATGGTTTAGAGACTGTCCTTTTCTTACCAAAGCTCAACATCTCGAGCCTGGCCTGAAATTAATATATAATTCTGATCCAAGTTAGAGGTAGACTTTCATGTTTGTCAACTTACACTGTAACTCATCATGTGGATACAGTTCAAAGACAGAACGACATGGCAACCACATAATCACGTTGTTGAAACCTATACAATGTGGCTAGGTGAAGGACTGAAAGAATCCACCAAACGTTTATTACTGTCTCATTCTGCGGATAAGAAATACAGAATCAACGAGATCCTAGAAACCAACACCATATTAGACGTTCCAGTGGATCATCCAGTGTTTCATATTCCCGCTTTATTAGCACAGCTGGGGAATCAATACGAGGATGTTTTGAGCAATCATATACATACAAAAGTACCCTATTTTGTCCTTTTCCTTCCCATAACCCTAGCCAACAATCATCAATTTTGTCTACGTTCCTATGGAAATATTTGTGAATATTGTCTTTATATGTTCACTTACCATTTCATTCTACTTTAGTCTCCATAATATTATTCGTAAGTTTCAATGATGGTTTACTCACTGTGTTATTACATTATCCTTCACACATACACGTCTTGAATAGATTTAAAGTTAGCACGAATATTCATGGCTTGAATTCATTTTTATCTGTAACAGATTTATGGTCGAAAGATCCCAAACCCAGTCAAACCAGAAGTCAGGAATGAATGATTTTGAAGGTGAATTAAGAAGATATTCGGCATTTCGAGAGGCATGTGATTTAAGCTGGCTAGCTGTTGCTAGTGATGCCTAGCATGGCGTACCCACTCATGACCTGGTGCGTACGCGTGACCAGACCTCTTCAGCTAGAATGTTATCAGTAAAACTAGTGAGGTAAGCATTAGTCTCGATGACTTACAGAACTATTAATTTTGGTGAGTTGTTTGCCGCTGCATATCATTTATTTACGTTGAATACTTGCTACAACTATGATCAATAACTTTATCCTCAACTTCGTATACGTATACTATAATCCTACCAACCACAATAATTCAAACGATCAGAATAAATATATCGATCTTTTAATTGTAAGGCTTGGTAAGAAGTTATGAAAGATGTGCATCGGTTCAACTTGTGTCCACAGAGAGTGACGGTGGGAAAGGTGAATCAATAAAAAATTTAATGATAGGGGTCATCATTCAGCATCCAGCACCAAGTGTCAACCGATTCATCTTGATCACATTAACGTGGTCTAGTATTTACGTTATTGATGGTAACGTCTTGTTCATGATAAATGTTTCAGCCACTCTCTGTACAGATTAGCAATCTATCAATCATCTTCCACTTCACTTGATCAAATATATTAACTCGTCTTAAATAGCACTGCTAGAGTTTCCGAAGAATAATATCGATGCGAGAATTGGCAAAGCAAAGACAGTATTCCTACAATTGAAGAACGTATGGAATTCAAGACAACTGTCAACAAATATCAAAGTTACAATTTTCAATACGAACGTCAAGACAGTTAGCTCTACTGTATGGAGCTAAAAATTTGAGAACTACCACAACTATCATCAAAAACGTACAAGCATTTATAAACAATTGTCCACAGAAGATACTCAATATCCATTGAGCGGATAAAATCGATAACAACCCAGTATGATAGAGAACTAACCAGCTTCAGATTAAAGAGAAAATAAGGAATAGGTGTTAAAAGTGGATAGAGAATAAATCACGGGAATCGCCAAGCTGCATCACAAAGCAAGCTATAACTTGGAATCCTGAACAACAACAAAAGAGTGCAAGACTAGTAAACGCACTGCTTTGATAATTAAAAACAGAAATGAAAAGAATGAATAGCACCTGGAAACAATTACCCAGAATAGAGTTGAATGGAGAATGCTGATGAGTGGCTTATGCTCCTCCATGAGGTGTAACAGGTGTACGTAAGTATCAAAGTCAATCATACCAGTCCGTCAGTAACAATGTAGAAATTCGTACTTACGTACATCAGTTCGAGTTGGCATATCACATTAGCACAGAGATGCAGTTGTCGATTCAAATCCCATAGTGGTAGAGGTAGTAAAAACATAAGCAATAATAGGAAATATTAGGGTTTAAAGATGTTATTCAAGGAGTATAATTCAGTGAAATAAATTTGGAAAGAGAAAAAAGAAAGGGACATGAAGAATTCAGAAGATTAGAATTTGGGAGAACACAAAGAGTGGATGCACCTGCGCCATTGCAAACGATTTTGAGCCATGTCATTCAGGGTCTCTAACCATCGGTTGCTATCGTCTCGCGAATCGCAGCCAGGTAGTCTACATCTACCAACATGGTTCAGTTCACTTGTCAGTGACTTCATGCATTTGTGCCATGTTTTGATCTGGCCACCCCTAGCTTTCTTTCAACCTACTTCTACACCATTGAACATCACATGTTGGGGCAGTCGGTAGTTGGGCATACGTAACACATGTCCCAGCCATCTTAACTGATGAAGTTTCATCACTTTATCAATTGACTTGTCATCCTTACCTAGTACCCGTTTCCTAACAACTGCGTTACTTACTCGATGGTCCCAAAATACACTAAACTATATTTTATGAATAACTATCTAATCTATCACTGAAAATGATCTATTAAAATATTATGAGAATACCATTTTCTCAAAGGAAATAAAATCTTTTTTTTTAATGAAATGACATAAAATGATCAATACATGATTGTTTTCAGTTGTACATGGTTACATAATTCATTTAACAAAACTTTGATGACATTCATAAAAAAGAAAAAAACAAAAACAATGTTGATCATGATCTATTCACCTAATCATAGTTGTATTCCATATAGAAAATTGTATCTAATTTAAACAAAGTTACCATCATTTCATTTGTTGTTGTTGGTGTTGTTGTGGTTTCTATGGTAACTATGAGCATTGCATTGCTTTAAACAAAATTGCCATTGGATTGATCTGAATTAGGATTTAATATTGTATCATTATCTAATGTTATATTCATATAATCATATTGTTTCTCTTTATGATTATTTTCATTCTGTTTTAATTGTTTCTCTCTATTAATATATGCTTTATGATAATCAATAAACATATGCCACCATTGATTTAATATTTCCCCAGTGATTATATCACCAATATTATCACGTAACATATGTATTAAAAAATAACCATCATTTTTAATAAATTTTTTAATAAATTGATGTATACGTTTATCATTTAATTGTATATTACAACCATCACAATCAAATGAATGATTAAAATATTTATCTAATAATTGTGATTGTATAGATACTACTAAATAATGTTGTATATAAGTAGTTTGACAATTTTTGATAATAAAACGTATTAACCATATAATGATACTAATAATTGTAATCATTGTTACAAATAATATCCATAACCATAAAAATATATAAATTTTTTCATTGAACATATTTACTGGTAATGCACAAATCGCTGTAAATAAATTATTTTTAGTACCAAGATGACGTACTTGTATTGGACAATATGTTTGCCTTGGGAAAAATTCACTTTCAATCCATTCATGTTTTGATTTTAAAGTTAATATTAATTGATTACCAAAATGATACAAGTTACCATGGTAACCTAATAATGTTTTGATAATATATAATTGTCCAATTAAATTCATTAAATATAATAATTTAATGATAATATATATGATTGATATATAATTACCAATATGTTTACCAATAATAAATAAACTACTTACTGAGTAGTTTGAATATTTTTGTTGAATTTTTGACCATTTTGTTAATGGATGATTATGATTATTATAATGTTGACAACTTAAACGAAATAATTGATATGCAGCTGATTCAACAAATTTTTGACGTTTTATATAATCATCTGCTGTATTTGCTTTATATGCCATATCTAATATAGATTCTAAATTTTCACCTAATAAATGTGTTGCTAATGATTGCCATATAATATGTGGTATAAAAAATAACATGGCTTGTATTGATAAACAGAATGGAACCCATTGATAGAAGGCTTTATTTAAAAAAAAGAGAAGAAGATAATAAAGAAAGAAATGAGACACTATACAGTATGGGGAAAGAATTTCAATGATGAATATGTTTAAAGTAGATGCAATACTTAACTGCGCCTGGAGTCCCTCCGGGGGCTACTGCCAGTCCCGAACCCGGATAAAGGAGGGGGTTGGGTATGGGGTTAGCGACCCCATCCCGTAGAAAACTAGCTCGCTAAATAAAAGCTAACCAGAAAGAATTATTCAAAATTTTTAAACTCTGCCCTGGGAGTCAGAAGGTCTTCATTCATTCATTCACTCATTACATACAATACTCAGTTACAGTAGTAAAGGTGTGGGACTTCTGAACAGTGTTCATCCACGATCCCACTTCGCGAGATTTAAACGTAGAACCTGTCAGTGTCATACGCGAGCACTTTACTTCAAGACCATTTAGCTGACCGGCATCCAACGTTGTTAATGTCTAACTTCAACTAATCCACGAAATTGAGCGACACATCCACCATTGTCATTAGTGAGTTACTATGTCAGAACAGACCCGGTTGAACTCCACTGATCACTATTTCTCATTAGAACTTCAAGAAATACCTCTTGAATCCAATCACTAGTGAGCATATGTTGATTAATATCAGAAGCGGTTTATGTGAATATTATAGTAATTTTAATAGTTGAGATCACAATTCAACTCTGGTTAGTTAATTACTAATACAATTTTATTTACTTCATGAACCAACTTATCCTGAAGTGAAGGAAACGTTGTTGAGAGGTCAAATTAACACAATCAATTGCTTCATAAATTCAATGATTGTTTGGAGTAAACTCCCCAGTTTATGTCTATACAATAACCATGATCATTTGTTGAAGACTTTGGGTAACTAACTCAAGGCATTTTACAGAGGAATCGATTTATTCATATCTTGTCTTCACGTGGATATTGAATTTCATTACCCCTTCAAACGTCCAATCTATTATATGGCTCTGTTTTCCAACCATAATATCTATCCTTAATCCTTTTCGCAACTTCATCTAATACTATTATTTTGACTGATTTGTTATACATTATGATGGTCTCATATTCACGTGATATGGTAAGGTGACGCACATTTATGTTAAGCCTTCAGGTTCCTATCAAAGCCTACTTGTGCTGAATATATATTACATACTAGCCAAGAGTGCTCCACTTGAATTTTTAGCTTCAAGGCGTGTTCACTAAAGATATTTCTTACCAAAGCATTGATCATGAGAAACAAAAACTGTGAGAGACTAGTATTTTTATCATATAATCATTTCTATTCAAGCAGAGTGAAATGGCTGAATGTCGGAAAAATGCCATGCATACATTGGGTAACTGTTTACCCTCACTTACATAGTTAGTTTCCACCAAAAACATGATTTATCAAGTCTTGGCGTGATCACGTTTATAAGAGGCATTAGTTAATCACCCCTGATGTTTACATAATGTATAGTTTGTACATTTATCTGGATAGTAATTGAGAGTATAGTATCTTGTATGGTGATACTCAATAGTCAAGTTTATTTAAAATCTTGTGGGTTACACATCAAAATGTTACAGTAATGAACAATAACTTTGAACTGAAACTTTTAATTGATACGACTTGTATTCTCTGGAATTCAATTCATTCTCCAAGTATTTTTCATATATTTTTGTTCGCCTGATAAAGTTAAAATTGTATGTTATTTAGATATAAAAACGAACACATATTTTGTTGAATACTACTGTTTGTTCACTGAACTATCTCTCTTTAGTCAGGAATACAGCTTTACTCATACTACATATACACTCCTGAACATTTGCAACCTAACTGTAATCATCGCTCGTTGTAAACTGAAGAGTATTTAAGCAACAACAACGAGGTTTTCAGTGTATTCCCCGAATATTGTAATTTATGGAAAATACTACTATGCAGAGACGATATTTTTATAAGCCAGCTTCAACTACTTATAAGTAGGCAAAGTAATTAAAGAAAAAATATTTGGGCTTCGGCACCTAAAAATAGGACTTATAAAAGATTGTGTAGTGTATGTTATTTACGTTGACAGAAATAAGTAGTACGTAACACCGATCGGGAGTGAAATTCCTGACAGCAAAAGATTGCAATGAAGAGGATAATAATGAAATGTGAGAGCAGTTCAAACGACAAAAGGATTTGAGGAATAATGGAGTGTGTAAAGACCAACGCGAATATGTGTAAGTGATGTATTTAATGTATAATTTTCATATTTTACTAAGCCACTGTATGATTTTTCATTTGTTTGTTTTGATCTTTTCATGGATTTTAGGACTGCAAATGATCAGTCTTTTATTAGCACATATCCATCCTATGAGGATTGCCTCGATATTGCCTTCAGTCATAAGTATTGTTAATGAAGATGGATGGTCGCTAACAGTGGAGTTCAAAACATGTGTTTCATCTTATTTGGGACTTGTCTTGGAGTGAATATGAACTCTGGAATCCAGTTATATCCATCTGACGAGTTCAAAATAGGACGAAACCCGCGTTCTGGATTCCGCTATTAGCCAACATCCATCTCTGTTTACTACGATTTGATGTCCGCACTTGATTTTTCACCATTTCAATTGTATTTGATATTTAGTTTTGAATATAATTATTTGTTGTTTTAGGCTTTCATTACAGTTAAACGTTCAATATCGGTAATTATGATGATTTGATTCGAATTAATAATAGATTACTCAGTTTTGGCATACTATCATATATATATAAACGGATGTCAAATATTTCTATTAAAGCTAATCTCGTCAGTGATTTAAAGTGTTGCTCTTGATAAGAATGAATTTGAAAGATCATTACATACTAACAAGGTTTTTATTAAAAATTAACTATTACTATGGATACACTTAGTCACAGTAAATAGAATGGGTTTGTTTCGATATTTTTGCTATCATTAGTGTAGAACTATGTTTGATAAAGTACAGAACGTAAGTTGACTTTGACTAGCTTGTTATAGTGAACGTCAATGGATAATGAGAAGGAAATGGTTTAAATGAATTGCTTTGTTAAACAAATGGGTTCAGTGTCTTGATCTGCATATCTATGCACTATAGACAATAAAACAACTATCTAATGTTCTTTGGTTATTAGTGTTTGTCCGTATGATGTTAGCCTATGATGCCAGCTAACTTTACAAAACGGAATACGCACTTGGTAGCTAAGCCGATAACGCGACAGCTTTTGAAGCGAGTCCCGGAGTGAACATCAACTCTTGGATGAAGGTACATCCAGCTAACGAGTCCCAGATAGGATGAAACGCACATCCTGGACAGCTAACTTTAAATTTATAATTAACAGTTCTTAGCTAAGCTTTAAACGAGTAATTAAACTATTTGTGATGATCTTTATTGATAGACTTAATTATTATGAATATGATGTTTATGATCGAGATCGTGAAAAGTTAAAGATTGTCTTAAGTCCATCTTTACTAATCTAAACTCCATCACAACAAAGGATCCATGTCTTAAATTCTAATAATCAAACTTATATAAATGTTATCAACCTAATGTCACTCAATTATAGGAATTGTCTTCAAACTTTGTATAAATTTCATCAGATAGATCTCTTCATTTATTCTTTACAGAAACAAAAGAATCCATACATTAAGTGTATTAATTAGAAGGGTTTTTGTGGATATTATAGTAATTTCAGTAGTTGAGAACATGAGTCATTTAAAGCTAGACCATCACCATGAAAAACCTGGAAGCACTGGACGACCGTTTCGTCTCATTGTGGGACTCTCCTGCAGCGTGCGACCATGATCCCGGGATTCGAACCCAGGATGCCAGCTCAGTGGTCTAGTAGTTAAGAGCTCATGTGCGAGACATTTAGGTCTTGAGTTCAAATCTCGGGAGTCGGGATCATGGTTGCGCGCTGCTGGAGAGTTCCACAATGAGTCGAAACGGTCGTCCAGTGCTTTCAGGTTTTTCATGGTGTTGGTCTAGCTTCAATTGACTCATGATCTCAATCATTTTAAATGTATTAATTTGATTTAATAGTGATATTATGCGGTAAGATCGTTCATAAACATTTAAGGATGAATATGAATGTCAGGTAATCATTATTTCAAAAGTTTTAGTGAATAATTTTTGATATGTACGTGTTAAATCTTTGGTAAACAGGGAATTTCATTGGAGTTTTGTATATTTTCTACTGACAACTATTCATAGTAATCAAATGTATGACACTGAATAGAGTGAATATTATCGGTATTATTCATTATTAAATTGATATACGTATATGTTTTGTCAATCAATATCAAAGTCACAATCGTCAACACGAATGTCAAGATAGTTAGTTCTACTGTACAGAGCTGAAAAGTTGAGAACTACTACATCCATCTTCAAGAAAGCACAAGTATTTATGAACAATTGTCTACACAAGATACTCACTGTCCGTTGTTGGCTGGATACTACTAACAACAGCCTACTCTATGGGAGAGAATAAACTGGCTTCCAGTTAAAAAGGAAATAAGAAATAGATGATGAAATTAAATATGACATATATTTTGGCAATCATCATACTGAATCACAAAACAAGTGTTAACTTTGAATCCTGAATGAAAGCGGAATAGATTAAAGCTAATGAATACACTGTATTAGGAATTAGAAATCGACACGAAAAGGATGAATGGTGATTAGAAACAACTGGGAAGAATTGTCCAGGACAGAATTGGATATAGAATGATGGTAAACAGTCTACGCTCCTCGATGAAGAGTAACAAGAGTAAGTCAGTATACATATATCTTAACTAACTTCAATAAAGGAATCCGGGTTATATGAATATATATATATAATGATCACTTACACATATCAGCTTTATCACGTAATTGATTCCAATCTTCATCTGTTAATGGCATTTGATCATTTTCACGTATTGCTATTGTACCACGTACCCAACATACAGATTCAGCAAATTCATTAAATTTATTATCTGGTGATGTTGGTAATGTACATGAAATTGGTCTAAGAAAATATACATTAGCCATTGTTACACCAGATAACATTAATATTATAACACAACTAATAAAATGATTTAATCTATCAGCTAAATCTTCTAAATGTGTATAGGCAGTCGTTTTTGCACCAGTTAAACGATCTATAAAACCGAGACCAAATTCTAAAACCATTTTTTCTTAAAATGATACTTTTCTTTTTTCTTCTCCTTTCTTGTTTTTGTTTTGAATAGGTAGAATCCTTGAAAAGAAAGAGAACAAGAAGAAAAAGAATAACGAATGTCTTAGTCCTGGATATCTATCTATCTGTTAACTAACAATTACCAATTAAATTTGATGGAGATCCCGCGAAGCGAAATCGTGGATGTGCACTGCTGAAGAGTCCCACAATAAGACGAAACAGCCGTTCAGTGCTTCCATTGTTTTCCATAGTAGTCTAGCTTTAATTGACTCATAATCTCAACAATTGAAAATATTTAAAATAAATTATAGAAAAATTAAAGTCAAGCACAAATCACTCACCAACACACTTTATCCAACTTTGTCTTGAAAAAAAATTTACAGTTGTTTCTAATGGTTTACAATGTTTGATTCACTTTCCCGGTGTAGTATATGCTTTAGTCTTCTACTTTTCTGTCGCCCTTCAAGATTTCAAGTTATCATTTGTTTCGTAATGAAGTTTGGTGATTTCCGTAATGTATGTCCTATTCACCTCTAGAGTCTTTCTTATTTTCCTTTTCAAATGGAATATGGTTTGTTATTTGCCACAATAGGCTGTTGCGGATAGCATTCAGTCAATGAACATTCAATATCCTGTGTAGACAGCTATTTATAAATACTTGTACCTTGTTGATGATGGTTGTAGTAGTTCTCTAAGTTTCAGATCCATACAGTAGAACTGTCTTGACGTTTATATTGAAGATCCCCGAAAAAGCATATATCCAGCTCAAAAACAGACACCCTGTTAAATGTTCACAGAATTGTCGCAATAATCGCTCAGGAAACAGAAAACAAATCGAGCAGTACACTGAATGCAGCTGCTCCAAATGGATCTCATCATTCTGCGACAGAGGTTTCTGACGAACCTAACTATCGAGATTCTCTTTTATCAGAAAATAAGTCACATGCATCAAATAATGATCAGAAACTTAATACAATTTTGATAGGTACTGATTACCTTTATGACCCATTATTTACAAATGAGGCTCCTAATAAAATTGACAACAGTATCTCAGAATATTCGAACTCTGATGACTTCGAATTAAATGGCGTTTATCCTAACTATCTGGTCAATTTTACTGGATTCTTTGTTCAATATGTTTTAAATATGGTCAAATTAATTGTAACTTGGGTATATGAGGATCCAACATTATTTCGCGGTGGAGGATGGACTCGGAAAATTTAAAATCCGGATATCAACTCCGGATCTTCAAAAAATGGGAGGTGTTTTATGTCCTGTCAAGAATAATGAATAGTAATTTTGGGGTCCATTTGAGGACCAATCAGGACTCTAGACTGCTTGCACATGTTTACGCGTCCTTGGTTCGATCGATACGTCACTGCCCTCTAATAGGCGATCACAAGTTATAACACTTTATAATATACATAGATATTGAATGTGAATTTTTTTTATAGTTTCTAGAATTCCATCTCTAGAATATGACCCGAATATTTGCCAACTGACCAAACGAACAGCCGAAAAATGCTCATGTTTTGTTGAGGATATATTTCTAATATTTTACCTCTCCACCTGCAAGAGAAACACCTCTTTATTATTATACTCAACGAACTATTCAATGTTCAGTCGGTAAACACTACGTCGGTAACAAGCTTTTACTCCAATGACTAGACAACTGTTAATAAACACGTGTATCTTCTGGATGATGGCTTTCGTAGTTTTCCAGCTTTCCGCCCCATACAGTAGAACTGTCTTGATATTAGTATTGAAAATCCTGACCTTGGTGTTGGTTGACAGAGAGTTGTTTTGAGTTCCAGATGTTCCTCAGTTGTAAATATGCTGCTCTTGCTTTGCCGATCCGCCCCTTCACATCTGCATCAGATCCACCCTGTTCATCAATGATGCTGGCCAGATATGTAAAGGTTTTTGCATCTTCCAAAGCCTCCCCGTCAATTGTGATTGGATTGGTGCATGCTGTGTTGTATCGGAGAATCCTGCTTTTCCCTTTGTGTATATTGAGACCTACTGCTGCTGGGGCTGCTGCTACACTGGACGTCTCCTCCTGCATTTGTTGTTCCGTTTGAGATAGAAGGGCCAGATCATCTGCAAAGTCTAAATCGTCCAACTGCATCCTAGATGTCCACTGTATCCCGTGCTTCCCTTCAGATGTTGACGTCTTCATGATCCAGTCGATCACCAGGAGAAAGAGAAAGGGTGAAAGTAAGCAACCATGCGTGACACCGGTCTTTATTTCGAACGACTTTGTCAACTGTCCTCCATGCACAATTTTGCAGTTAAATCCATCATATGAATTCCGTATGATGTTGACTATCTTCTGAGGCACGCCGTAGTATCGAAGAAGCCTCCATAGTGTTGTCCTGTCCATGCTATCAAATGCTTTTTCGTAGTCAATGAAGTTGATGTAGAGTGAAGAATTCCACTCAATTTATTGTTCCACAATGATCCGTAGAGTTGCGATTCGGTCTGTACACGATCTATCCTTACGGAATCCTGCCTGTTGGTCTCGAAGTTGGGCGTCTACGAAGTCCTTCATTTTGTTCTACAATACCCTGTTGAAGACTTTTCCGGGTATTGAGAGAAGAGTGATGATCCTGTAGTTATCTCACTTGCTGAGATCGCCTTTCTTTGGTATTTTGATCAGAAGTCCTTCTTTCCAGTCTTTTGGTACTTGTTCCTCATCCCAAATCTTGTTGAAGAGAATGTGGAGTATCCTTGCAGTTGCCTCTACGTCTGCTTTTAGTGCCTCTGCTGGAATGTTGTCTGGTCCTGCTGCTTTGCCACTCTTGATTTGTCTGATGGCCATGCTGATTTCTTCAATCGTTGGTGGGCCAACATTGATTGGGAGGTCCGTGGGTGCTGCCTCGATGTTGGGTGGGTTCAGTGGAGCTGGTCGATTCAAGAGTTCTTTGAAGTATTCTACCCACCTGTTTCGTTGCTCTTCAATGTTGGTGATTACCTCGCCCCCTTGCTTTTCACTGGTCGTTCTGGTTTGCGGCGATTTCCAGAGAGTTTCTTTGTCGTGTCATACAGTTGTCTCATGTTTCCTCCTCTTGCAGCCTTTTCCGCGTCGTTGCTAAATCTTCCACATATTTACGTTTGTCGGTTCTGATGCTCTTCTTCACGTGTTTTTTTACTTCTGTGTATTCAGCTTGTGCCGTGACATTTTCTGCTCTTGTTCGACTGGTATCGATTACTGCTTTCTTGTTCCTCCTTTCTTGAATCTTATCCAGTGTATCGACAGTGACCCATTCATTGTGGTGGTGCTTCTTGTGGCCCAGGACCTCATGACATGTTGAAGTGATTGCCTCTCTGATCCCCTTCCAGTTGCTCTCCATAGTAGTTCCTTCTCCATTGAGTAGATCATGAAAGGCCTGGAACTTGTTGCTGAGGACTATATTGAATTTGTTGAGTTTTTCAGTGTCCTGAAGAAAGGCCGTATTGAACATTTGTGATGTTGTCCGCCCCATTGTCCAGTGCTTCTTGAGTTTCAATTTCATCTTGGCGACCAGCAAGTGATGATCTGAGGCTATATCAGCTCCTCTGTTGGTTCTCACGTCCTCTATAGTCCTCCTGAACGTTTTGTTGATGCAGATATGGTCGATTTGGTTTTGTGTAGAGTGATCCGGTAAAGTCCATGTGGTTCTGTGTATGCGTTTATGTGGAAATATGGTGCCGCCTATGACCAGTTTATTAAAGGCACATAGGTTTGCAAACCTCTCACCATTTTCGTTTATTGAGGACATTAGCCTCAACATATTGGTGACCCGCCTTTAGAACGCGCACCATTTTCCTACAAAGTCTGCTGCATTCTCCTCAAGCGTATCATAAAGAACTTCATATTGGAATTATTATTATAATTAATAACAATCCATTGACAATCATAATAAATTCACTCATAACATTTTCCCTTTGGAATTATTACTGTATATTCCCATATATATACCCAAAGTGACAATTTTTCTTTTCTGTGAGTCTTATATATTTTTTGTTGTTATTTTTGATTTCTTCGTATTGTATATTTCAAACCTCAGTTTATTATTATTATTATTGCTCCTTCGTACCATGTCAGTTGATAATTCGCTAAGCCTATCATCTAAATCTATTTCCGTGGGTGCCATTTCTGTACCTTTACCTATTTTTAATCCACGAAAGGCTGAACTCTGGTTTGCTCGCTTAGAAAGTTTTTTTGTTGCAAACAAAATCACAAATCAGAGTACGAAATTTAGTTACGCAAACTCACGACGTCATTGAACAAGTGCCTGATGTCATTTTTAAGCCGGATCCTGACTCACCATTCGATTGTCTAAAAAGAGAGGTCATTCGAGTCACATCTCTCATCGACCAACAGACAATTGATCAACTTTTAGCCAACGTGGAGCTAGGTGACAATACACCATCACAGTTAAAACGCCACATGACAAACTTATTAGGAAATCGTACAGTAGACAAACGTCTACTATATCAATTGTGGCTCAGACGTCTCCCTCAAAACATTCAACAGATACTTGCAATTGGAGACGAAGACGTCGATTTTGATAGGCTAGCAGACATAGCCGACAGAATTTACGAACGGTCCAAGACTCACCCTGTATCTCAAATCCAATCAGGCTCAACTGACGAGATCGCCGAGTTACGACGATCAGTTGATACGCTTACCAAACAGATAGCTCAGATCCAATTATTGAATGCTTTCCACAGTAAGCGTAGAGGAACATCCACAAGCCCTAGACGACGTAGTCCAAGCACTACTAGACACAACATTTGTTGGTAACATAGAACATATGGCAAACAAGCTAGAAAATGTACTTCGCCTTGTAACTTTGCAAGCACACAGAAAAAGGGACGTCAAGACCGCAGGTTAATGACGACTGCACTCACTGACCACAACTCTCAAGACAGTCGTCTATTATATGTTACAGACAAAAGAACCGGCACACAGTTTTTAGTCGACACTGGGGCAGAGGTTAGTGTAGTA